TATTTCCCAATACTTGTATAAAAGGAAATTGAAAATGAAAAAATTGAAAAGAAACATAGAACATGCATTCAGAGGTGGTTATAGTCTTTTACAATATACTACAAAATTACTAATAGGTTTCAGGCTGTTTCACCATATGAAAAATGGTGGCTCTCTATGAGAGAAAATGATCCATGATAACTGACAGCATATCATGTTCCTGATGTAAGCCAAATCTCTTAGAGTATGTTTTTTTCTTCTTTTCTAATGTTAATTTCTCATTGATTTTTACACCTTGACTACCTGTACCATTCGATACCTAGAAAACAAACCAAAAAAATTGGAGAGATACTCCTGAATGCTGACATCAAGAGTGAGACACAACCATACTATCAAAGACTATCATGTAAACCTCAGCAAAATGTATCCTATAATTTGTATATATCCTATGACAGATAAACATATTATTATTACTAATACAGATCATGCAATTATACTTGTTTCCCTTATAAAATAGACAGAAAAAAGGTAAATTTCCATCTAATAAAGACAAAACTGGCAATAATATACATCTTATTTAGGAACTGCAATGCCATTAAAATCCAAAGGTGAATATTTACAACACCTGCAGTAGCTTTCAAAATGGGACTTTATTAAATAATTTTCCACATCCTTCATGCTTCACACTTTGTCAACAGCGGTCCCTTTATTGAAGAAAATATGCCAGAGGACTACAAGCTCCACCTTGCTAGAATATAGCTTGTTGGCTTTTGCCAAAGCCCCACCATCAAAATCTGACATCTACCTAGAACTTTTGCAAAGGAGATTTACTGGTCTTTACTAAAGCACCAGTGATGTGGAGGCATCTTGTTGGTGGATATGTGGGTACCTTGTAACATTTATTAGTTTATTATTCTAAGAATAACCAAAACTATAAATAAAACCATACATGTAAACATATAACTAGGAGGTCCCTTATATAAACATATATATCAACAGTTCATATAAACTTTCAGTAATAAAGTTGTCCACAATATAAAACCTGATTATATATTATTCAAAATGATAATAACTGCCTAGAGTATATTAATTGTAACAGCCAGAGATTCTAGTGTTAAATACTAATTACCAAATATAATCACTTTTTTCCTGGTTTACAAAGCATAATTAAGATTTATTCTTACCAAAATACATGATATTAAAAATTACAGAAGTCAATTCTATTATACCAATAGTATGACATTTAAAATAATGTACCCTTTAATGCTTATGGATAAAACAGAAATAACTGACTGGTCAAAAAGTAGATAAAAGAAGAATTCTTTCTGTCACCACTATACATCAAAATGTCCCATCTCTTACTTTGTTATTAAAATCAATTAATTCCACTTTCAATACTTATTTTTCTTTAAAGCTTGTGTTCTGTGTTATTTCTCACTCTCCTCCATTCATAAATTCTGATGAGAATCATAAAAATCAACTCTAAACTTATAATTTCAATATGGAAAAATGTAGGCCTATATTGCAGGTCCTCTTGAGAGGAGAGGCCTCTTCCAATTGTATTTATGCAAATTTTTGACAATTTCTCTTGTAAAGTGCTTCAAGACAAGTGTTTGTGGCCAAAGCTAACCTCAGAGAAGGCAGTCCATCTTATCACTGATATGTCAAACAAAATACATATAATGGATCTCTATTATAGTTATACTATGGTAGCACTACTAGACAGAATCCCTTGTAAATCTCTCCCAGGCTTCTTAAATGAAAATGATTGCTTTCATTAGCCAAATTCTGCCTATTCGTGCCGTTTCGTCACGCTGCTCATCCACCTGACCAGAATCCGAAAAGGAAATTCGAAAATCCCTAAAATCTTTTGCTTTAGCCGAGAAAGAACAAGGTCAGGGACCGAGGTAGCCATGTTGGAAACAGCCCGACCACTCTTTTTGAGCCCATTTTCGCCTCCGGGAAGCCCTTTCTTTCCTTATTATTCGCTTAGGAGGGGCGTCTATCCCCCTCCTCTCGTACGGAAGGAAGAAGGAACCACACAGAAGGGTTTTGAGGGAGGAAGAGACCGAAATCTCTCCGTCCTGCCCGAGCGACGGAACAAAGATGGCGGGGAAGAGTCGCCCTCGGTCGTTTTTTATTTGCTTCTTACCTCGCTTGGTTCGCACTCTCGTTGTTTTCCTTGGTACTGAGAGTGTGTTTCCGCTTGACCATCTTCCAGGCTTGGCTTCCGTCTACATCTTGGAGTGATTGGGGCTCGAGAACCGCCCAAAACCGCCACTTAAGCCCGGGTTCCTCTCGCGACCCCGGTCATCCGCCTCGCAGCGTCCCTCGTCGAAGCCTCTGATTTCAGCCTCTCTCTCCCTCTCCGCCATCGAATTTCGCACCCAACTCACGTGCTCTCGCCCCTCACAAATGTCATGGTGCTTGTCAAAGGCTGGAAAGAGCGAAAAGAGGTAAAAAACTCCTCGATATCGGCCAAAGTCTCGCTCTTCTGGTCCTTTGCTCAGCTGGCCTTCCA